GGTATATTCTCCCTAGGGCTCTTATATTTTGCCACCTTATTAATTTGGTTAATTAACTTTGCTGTGATAGCTGTCAGCAGCTCCAATGCAATTATCTACTAGCTCTTGGTACCAGTGCACAGCCACCTTGGGCTCTGTGGTGGCCAGGTCTATGAGCAGAGGCCAGGCAGGAAGGGGTTAAAGTCCACTGAGACATGTGGGCTTCTTGCTTATCACCTCATTAGGTGGCAGGCAAGAGGGAGAGGCCTGCTGTCTATCTGAGTAGTTGGCATTGAAGGGAGGCTCCATCTGGGAGTGAATGAGGTGTAAGTGACTCGGACAGCATGGGGTCAGAAGCTGGGACACAAGTCATAGGAAGATTGGGTAACTCCGGACAGAATTTACGCCAGAGTCTGAGTTCCGGCCACCACTGTAGGCCCTGAACAGTCATACAGAAGCATAGAGCATAGACCAGAAAAAGGCTGGAATATGGAGGCTTCACTGAAACAGAGGTTTTGTCTACTTGAGCTAAAGCCAGGCTCACCTCAGAGAGCAGAGAAGTATCGAGAACGGGCTTAGCTGTCTGCCCTTCTTCCTAGCCCCCATGCTCTGATTCCTGAAGTATATGCTGCAGTGGCTGAGCCCTCTTGTCCTCCCTAGAGGACAAGCTGTGGTTAAAACCCTATGTGGACCTCCAGGCCTATGAGGACCCTGCACAGGGAGCCTTAGACTTTGCCCAGGAACTGGACCCAACCTGGCTGATTGTGGACACTGTCATAGGGGAAGGTAAGTCCTGCTGTGATCCCAGCTGGTCCCCTCTGTGTGGTAGCACATGGCTGCCATCAGGTTCTTTTTTCAAGCCTGAGGTCCCAGATGAGTCCTTGTCTGCTGGATCCTGTATCCTCCTTGAACTGCTATGCCCCGGAGCAGCTTCTGCCTCCTACGCACTTTGCTCTGTGGTTATGGGGTTTCTGATAAAGAACATTAAACACATCATCTCTGCCCCTAGCGGTGTCACCATGCCAAGTGCAGGTTGTTCTCAGATGGTTCCCAAAGTAGGAGAGAGTCAGAGCCTCCCTAAGTGAGCATTCCATCCCATCAGGAGCCCAGTGTCCTCGGGCTGCCCCAATCCCCTGGGTCACCAGGGGAAATAGATCTCAACAGAAAACAAGGCTTGGCAGTGTTCTTGTCAGTGAGGCGGCTGAGCCAGCACTGTGCCCAGGGAGCTCATTCACAGGAAACAGGCAGGCCTCCTGTGACCTGGGCCCTAGCCCTGGACCAGCTTGTCCTTCATAAACACGGCTCATCCCTCTGCATTTAGTGAGGGCTTACTTAACATAAGCCGAGCGTGCTAGCCATGGCAGACAGTGGTGGGTAGGTTAGGTTCTCCAGAGGGGCAACCTAAGTTCTGTCCTTCCTCAGATGGCCAGTGAGAAGAGACAGGGACTAGAGGTATCATCAGGCCACGACCTTATTTTCATCCCACCTAGGAGAGTTTGGGGAAGTGTATCGGGGAGCCCTGAGATTCCCCAGCCAAGACTGCAAGACTGTGGCTATTAAGACCTTGAAAGATACATCCCCAGATGGCCAGTGGTGGAATTTCCTTCGAGAAGCAACTATCATGGGCCAGTTCAACCACCCACACATTCTACGCCTAGAAGGTGTCGTCACAAAAAGTATGCAGGTCATCCCCAGGAACTAGAGTAGAATGTGTGGGAAGGGGGAGAGGGGTGGGAGCAATGGAGGGGAGTGGATGTCAAAGGAAGGAAAACTGGGCCTGGGGGTGTGTGATGCATGTGCTGTGTCTCAGGAAAGCCCATCATGATCGTCACAGAGTTTATGGAAAATGGAGCCCTGGATGCCTTTCTAAAGGTGAGACAGGCATAGTATACACTCAGGAGAGGTCACCCCACGGAGCCCCATGCCTTGTGGGAAACTGTTCATCCTCTGACGTATACATTCACCCTACTACAGGAACGGGAGGATCAGCTAGCTCCTGGCCAGCTAGTGGCTATGCTGCTGGGCATAGCATCCGGCATGAACTACCTCAGTGGCCACAATTATGTTCATAGAGACCTGGCTGCCAGAAATATCTTGGTAAATCAGAACCTATGCTGCAAGGTGTCCGATTTTGGCTTAACCCGCCTCCTGGATGACTTTGATGGCACCTACGAAACCCAGGTTAGAGCCCCATCCACACTCACATGTACAACCAATCTGATGGTCCGTGCACAAGCACGAGGCCCGATCCCCTTTCCGCATAGCTTTGTACTCATCCGTGCCATATCTCCTTAGGGAGGAAAGATCCCCATCCGTTGGACAGCCCCAGAAGCTATTGCCCATCGGATCTTTACCACAGCCAGTGATGTGTGGAGCTTTGGGATTGTAATGTGGGAAGTGCTGAGCTTTGGTGACAAGCCTTATGGGGAGATGAACAATCAAGAGGTAAGCCTGGACTGTTCCCCATGTCATCCCTGACACACCTCCTCACTCTTCTAAATTCTCTAACATGGTCTTTTCCTGTAATTCTTTCTTTCCAACTCCAATTTTGGGTGCTATTTCTTGTGGCCCTTTCTCTGTTACTTCTTTACTCATTACTACATCTACCCTGGTCAGATTAGAGCTCAATAATTTTTGTGTGATTTCCTAGTGGATGTAGCTTCTTGCCTCGGTATCTCTCCCTGTCTTCTGCTACATACAGGTGATGAAAAGCATCGAAGAAGGGTACCGGTTGCCCCCTCCTGTTGACTGCCCTGCCCCTCTATATGAACTCATGAAGAACTGCTGGGCTTATGACCGGGCCCGTCGGCCCCACTTCCTCCAGCTGCAGGCACATCTGGAACAGTTGCTTACTGACCCCCATTCCCTAAGGACCATTGCCAACTTTGACCCCAGGTAAGTATGGGAGTTTGGAGCATAAATCATGGGGGAAAAAATGGGTGTTCGATCCTATCCACTGAGTGCTGGGCCCTGGGGAGCTCTGGACAGAATCTGGCATATGAGACAGCACCCAGTCCACGCCCGTTGGGAAAGCCCAGGCTCACAGAGGTAGGATCCCGTCTATCATGAGTTTTCAACGGCATGATTTAAAAAGAGTTAGCTCTAGATTACCAACCTCATTCTATTTCCCCTTGAATCTATGGAGTCGCTATTCTTTGTCACTCCCACTGTGTTCCATTGTGACTGGGACCCCACCTCTGGTGTTCCTGTGGCCATTTGAGACGTGGGATACTTTCTTTTCCCCATATATATATTCTTGAATGTGGAGGAAAAACTTACAGATCTGACAAATCTTGGAGGACCTACTGGTGCAAGCTCTTTGCTGAAGCCTGGCACCTGCTCCTGAGAGCTTAGGCAGCTAGAATGGGGTAGGGACAGGAGGCAGTCTGAGTCCGTCTCTGACTACATGGTCAGCTGAGGAATGACACAGATCACAGACAGTACAGAATGATGGCAGCATCCAGTTCAGAGCCAGCAGCCCTGGGAGTGGGGAAGCAGCCGAGATCAGTACAGAGGACCAGCCCTGCTGAGAAGGTAGGACTTTATGAGAACAAGAAATGTTGACAAGTTTCCCAAAATTGTATTTTATCAAAAACATGGCCAGAATGTAGAGAATGAAGTGGAAGGAGGGGGTCGAGTCAGGGAGCCAGGCAAGGCTTTATCGGGTAAGACAGCCTGGTGTACTGGCCTCTGTATCAAACCCACCATATATAACCTTGTTTCTGGGAGAGATTGTTTTCCATGTTCCAGCTTTTGAGACTATCTTTTGGAGCACAGCTCCCTCGGACGCTGGAGACCGTGTGTGCTAATCTTTCTGGAATGCTGGATATTTTTTCCCCCAGCAGATTTACTTTGCTAATGGTTTTTGGCTCTGGCTGGCTTTCCTACAGGAACACTCATTGTATTGTGGCTATCACAGCGTAATAATAACAGTCGGGGGGTGACTGTGGCAAGTGAGGGCTTCTCCTAGGTGGCCATCTTAGGAAAAGGCAAGAAAGCATCTTGCTGCAGGCCCCTTCTTCTGTTTTTTTGATTTATCTCAGTCAGGATGCATTCATGTCTAAAGGACTGGGAATTCTCTTCCCTAGGGATGCCCATAGCATCCACATTCGCTAGATCTATCCATGGAACAAGTCAGTCAGCCGCCTGCCCGCTGCTGTGAGCAGAGCATACCAGGAAACAGGTCAGGAAGTAGGCTCAGACAGTAGCCAGTTTATGTGCAGAGCCTAGATGAGCTATATGCAAGCGTCACATTCGGTGCTTGCTGCAGTGTGATGGCCCAGGCCAACCAGCTCCTGTACTCCAGGGGGACAAACATAACTTTGAATCCCACAGGGTGACCCTCCGCCTGCCCAGCCTGAGTGGCTCTGATGGGATCCCTTACCGAAGTGTCTCTGAGTGGCTCGAGTCCATTCGCATGAAGCGCTACATCCTGCACTTCCGCTCGGCTGGACTGGACACCATGGAGTGTGTGTTGGAGCTGACAGCTGAGTAAGGAGTCTGGGGCCAGGCAGCCTGGGCATGGGAAGGTGACTGTGGTCTGAGCCTCTAGACTCAAGGCCTCCCTTCCTTCTTCCATAGGGACCTGACGCAGATGGGCATCACACTGCCGGGCCACCAGAAACGCATTCTCTGCAGTATTCAAGGATTTAAGGACTGAGTGGCCACCGAAAAGATGCTTCCTCCCTCTACCCCCTCCATGAGCAAAGACAGGGCCACTCCCTGAGCCTTTCCTCAACCTACAAGATGTAGGTTATTGGTGCTGCTCCTGCCCAGTCAATCAGGACTCTTGCCTTTGGAGGAAGGAGCCTTTGTTTATAAAAAGGAGGTGGGAGGTACAAGTGAAGGGGATTGTGGGTGGGTGGGTGCTGGGCAAGGGTTTAATATATATACTTATATATGCATTATCTATTTTTGTAAATAAACAAGAGTTGAGTTTTCATCCCTACCCGTGATCTCTCCCCGCAACCCCCAACCCAAGTCCCTCTATTTCAACCCCAGGAGTTGAAGTGTTATCAAAGAAGCAAGTACTAGCAATTCTGGAAAATGAGGTTTTATAATTTTCGCTGTGGCCACAACCTAGCAGCACAGGGCAAGGTGGGTGTCCAGGCTGCTGGAGCCAGGCTCCTGGAGTTTTAGGGCTTCTCCCACCCTCAGCAAGCACATTGCATAGGCTGCTTAGGCCAGCCAAGGGCCTGGGTGCAGCGGTGAAAGCAGCGGCACTAAAGGTGACCGACCCTTGGTTTGGGGACCTCAGGAGGACTGGGCAATCCTGCAAGAGAGGGCTGGGGCCTCAGCACCTCTAGGTCATGCTGAAGCCCTGGGTCAGGGCGCTTGAGATACTGGGGAGGGGTTTGGAATGCAGGGAGGGCAGAGGCAAGGATTGGTCTCGGTGTGGGTGGCCCACAGTGGGGAATGGACCTGTGGTCTGGAAGGAGGCCCATCCTCACTCAGGATGCTCTAGCAGTGTGGCACTTCCGACAAAGGACATGGCCATCCAGAGGGAAACAGCCGTTGTCATCTGCCTCAATGGACAGGGGCTTCCCACAGTCCTGAAAAGGAGGAAGGGTAAGCGGGAACCTGGCCAGGAAGATTCCTTCTGCACCCTATTATACTCCACCTCCATCTGAAGTAGGAAGTCCAAGTGTTCCATAGGTTTGGGACTGACGTTCTGAGCTTGCTTACCTTCCTGACCATGCTACCTTCTCTGCTCCTTACCAGGCCTTTCCTGCCGGAAAGGTGGGACTAGGCAGTTCCCGGAACCTACCCCCTGCCATCCCACTACAGGTTTGGAGACTATCCCATCCTATCTCAACTCCATTCTGACTGCTTCTCACTACTCCAGCCCAGCCCACACATACACAGTGCACATCAACAGGCAAACCCACCACTCTTCCCTCCCTCCAGTCGGAAAATCCCTTAGTTTTTCCAAGGCTCAAAGTGACCTCTGCAAGACAGGAGGGACAACTGACCTCACATTTGTAACACTTCATGTGAAAGTTCTTGTCCAGAGCGACTACGCGCACGGTCTCATCGCGGCCAGGCTCAGGCATGATGGGCTCAGAGCAGACAGAGCACCTTGGGGCGTACTGCCTACAGGGTCAGAAAGCAGGCCCAGAGGGTTCAGTGGATCCAGGCACCTCGGGCTTTCAGCCCCCAGGAGGGCACAGGGTAAGGGGGCATAGGTTGCGTGGCCACAGGGTTGGATTCACATATCCAGGTGGAGCAAGTTCATAAGAAAGCCCAAAGGACCAAGGGGCGCACACAGCAGGCCCTTATCGAGAGAATTTCCTGCCTCTCCACTTACAGTCTCTTATCTCCCACACCTCTGTCACAGGTGTTTGATTCCACACCCATGCCCCACCCATAATACAGCTTGGCAGGAACCCCAAAGGAGGACAGAAGACACCTCCCACTACATGTGCATACCTCCAGCCTGGCGCTAGAGAAAGCAGAGGGGCCAGGAACCTTAGTTACCCACACAAAATCCTGCACGTGTATCTCCCAGGCACACTGTCCACGGTGGGGACAGACTTCAATTTTCCCCTCCTGTACTACATGTTGATACTCTGCCTTCCAGCCCAGAACTGTGATTGAGGGAGAAGTCAGTACTCCAAGCATCTAAGCTCCGAAGGAACTTTGAGAACCCAGCCTAAATGTGAACATAGCTATTCTAGGACCAACTGCTGAACAACACCCCAGAAGCCCAAGGGAGCCAAAGTTCACGTAGAAGAAGCCTATGGCCACAACTGTGGCCAGCAAGCAAGATCTATGGTCTGTCGCTGACCTGAAGCCAGGTGGCAGCCTGGTTACCAAACAAAACATGGATCAACAGAAAAAAAAAAAAAAAGAAAGAAAGAAAGAAAGAAAGAAAAAGAAATGATAGGTCCTCACTTGTGATAGTCAGGGACACAGTGGGGCTGGTTGTTCTCGCCCACAATGAAGGAGGTACCCTCCAGGGGACAGGCACAGACCACACAGGTGAAGCACTGTGGGTGGTAGGCTTTGCCAGTGGCCCTCAGCATGCGGTCCGTGATAGGCTGCCCACAGGTGTTGCACTTCTCCAGGGTCTCCTGGGAAAGAACAGAGTAGGTTGTGAGGGAACCAGAGTCCCCAAGGCTCATCCAGCCCCAACCCCAGCCAGAAGCCCCAGCCCAGACTTACGGTATAGCAGCCCTCGCAATAGGGCGCCCCTTCCAGACTGTAGAACTGCCCTCCCTGCAGCTGCTGCTGGCACTGATGGCAAGTGAAGCAGGTGATGTGGAAGAGCTGTCCCAGCGCGCGAACTGCAGGCTGGGCGCGGGGCAGTGGCTGACTGCATCGGCCACAGGACTCTGGGAAGATCAAAAAATTTCACCTCGGCAAAAAGGACAGAAGATCCCAAGAGCTCTTGCCCAGTCAACACATAGCAGCAGGGACGGTGTGCCCCAAGAGTGGGTGGCAGACTCACCATTTGCTGCCACACTCTGCCTCTGAGGGTGCTCCATGTCCTGCATCAGCTGCTGGGTCAGCTGCTCTAACTCCTGCACCTCCTTGAGGGTCAAGGGTCCTGGGCCTCCAGGAGAGCGCACCTAAAAACCCCAGGGCTTTTTTCATATTCTCTAACTCCTCTCAGCCAGCCGACCGCTTTTAGATTGAGACCTAAGCTTCAACCCCCTTCCCTCGATGCCAGGACTCAGCAAGCTCCTCTCTGCTGCCCCTATGTTTATATATGTGCCCTGACCCCTAGCACCACACATATAAATATAGGGGCAGGGCTGACCTTCGCCTATATCTCCTACACCAGGGACATCTTCAGCCATGTAGCACAAACCCTTGCAACCCCAGGCATCCAGACAGACCAGAACAACTAAGCAATGGGAACCTCGCTTACAGTTGCTCAAGGCACCAAAGCACCAGACATACCAGGACACACACCAACTTCACAGAGCATGCACAGACAGCATCTCCCACACCCCAGACAAGCGCCATACTATGCGTGCACACACACACACACATACACACCTACCCATCCAGCCTGCTGCTGAGCAGACAATCAGCATGAGGAGGCCACGAGGCTGGAAGCATAGCTTAAGCCCTCAAAAGCTATTGGAGAGCCCACCCTCAGCTCTTCAGACACCCTAGGTTCCGTCCCAATGAGAGGCTAAGTGAGGGTTTTGTAGTCTACCCGGTCCCAGTCCTTGCCCAGCAAGTCTTCAGGACAGATGCAAAGGCCAGCGCCCAGGCCAGCCCATTCCTCCTATGAAGTGGATCTTGAGGGTTAAAAACTGGGGAGGGGAAGGATGTCCCTGCACAGGGACAAGGTGCTTCAGAAACCTGCGACCTTGAGCAGGGGCTTTCTGACCTGCAGCACCGTGTCCCTGAGACACTCCTTCAAGAACTCTGCATGGGTGTAGTCTATTGCAGGACTAAGTCCAAGCAGCACACTGTGACCCTATCACCTGCTGATTCCTTCACCCTTCCAGCCCCTGGAGCCCCTCACCATGTCCTCCTCCACCAGAACTGTACTCAAAGCTCCACCTACCATGCTGTCCCATGCCCCCTGGCCTCGGCCACTATCCTTAAGACTGACTCCTTTAGTCACCTATTCTTAACTCACAGTGGGTCCCTGAATGGAGGCTTCATCTTCGTCCTCTTTCAAGGCGTCCTTCCCTGCCCTCTGAGGACAGGAAAATGGAATTGGCTTCTCCTAGCTCTCTAGTAAATGCTACTATAAATGGCTGTTGCCATCTTGGGAAGGATAAACTATTCAACCGCACTCCTCCCTGTGGGTGCCTGTGTCCTTCCTGCAGGATGCTATCAGCTGCTGCCTCCTCTGCCCGCCAGCAGCAATGTCACTGATCAACTCCTGTGGCCTCAAAAGTCTCTTCTTCAGTATCTTCCACCTCAGCGTAGCTGGGACCTAGGATTTATCAGCACTTTGCTCTCAAGATCCCTTCCAACTAGTCCCACCTCTCCTTTCATCACCCACACTACTAACAGCCTAGCAGAAGGGACTGGGTGTCACAGACTTCAACCTGACCTTGTGCCTTGCCAATCAAGTCCCTAGACTGGCTTCTCATACTAGCCCTTTCTACAAAAGCCTCTTATACCACACGAGGCTATCTGGCCCAATCTCTAACCCTGGGTCACAGCACTGCCTGTTTCCTGTTTCTGCCTCCACACTGCAGAAAGTAGGTGGAGACGCCAAACACTGCAGAGCTCCCAAAACACTGCAGCACCTGCCACGCCCTCCAACTCTCTGGCCCCAGCTTTTCTGCTGGTATTTGGCTCTGCCAGATTCCCAGTTGCCTTCCCCACAGCAGCTGTTCCAAACCTTTTCCATCCCTCTGAGCCCCCAACAGCTCGGCCCCCTTCATCACACTCACCGATGACCTCACCCCTTAAATGCCTGGCAGCTAGCCAGTTTAAGTTCCCTCATCCTTCTTTCTTTCCAACCAAACACTGTGTGTCACCCTGTCCTTGCTCCTTCCAGTGCCTCGAAGGTCAACCGCAGCTCTCGGGGATTCTTCCCTGCTGGCTCCTGCCTCTTGCATACCTGCATACCTCGACTCTTCTCCCCTAACTTGAAGCTCCTAACACACACACACACACACACAACACACGAGAGAGACACAGAGAGAGACCATAGTCTGACATGAACTCATTTAACAATCCTCCTGCCTCAACTTCCCATATGCTGTGACTTACAGGCCACCATACCCAGCTTCACTGCCAAACTTTCAGAACAAGCTACATTACCAACTTCCAGGTTTGCACCAACAGCTCACTCAACGTTGGCACTGCCACAGGGCACAAACAGTCCCAAGGCCATCTACGAAGTCCTAAAAGTCAAGTCTCTGCTTATCTGAGTCCTATTCCCTCAACCCACAAAGAACCCCAAGGTCACCTCATGAACCTCTAAGGACCCCATCCTGGGACTCCACTCTCTTTGCCTGACCCTTTCACTTCCTGCTGTGGAGCTCCTCCTGGTATGTATGGCTATGCGCACACCTCTGGCTTGAGGCCTGCCCCCACATCACAGCCCCACAGTAGCTGAATGACAGTTGCAGCTGAAGGCAAGTGCGCCTGAAGCCTGTTGCTCAATGTGCTGACAGCTGGACCCCTCCTTTTCCCGTCCAAACCATTTCCCCTTCGGCACTTCTCTATTTTGTCTGTAACACCATCATTCCCGACGTTCCCCAGGCTCTGAGCCTCCTACCCCTGTTGCTAATCAGTGGTCTCCTTCCTCCTTTAGAACAGCTCTCATCCCTGGTTCTTATTTCTCACTGCAACTAACGCTGCTGTGGCCCAGGAGTGAACTCGCCTGGGTCACAGACCTCCCTACCTCTCTTATGCATCTCGGCTGGAATTACTATAGAAAACTTCCAAAAAGCAGTGCTTCCAGCAGTCCTCCTGGCCAAACCACACACTCAACAGTGATGCTCTAGCATGCGCAAGCTCCCTGTCGGAGATTTCTTTACCAATCTCAAGTACACCTCCAAGTTTTTCCCATAGGAACCTCCTTCTGCTATCTGTTCTCCAGCCCTCCCGATCCCTCCTCGCCCCTCCCCATGTTCATACTCTTGAATTTTGCACAAGCTATTCCTACCTAAGTGCTATGCCTGATCCTTTCTGATTTCTCAAGTTCTTAAATACTTGAAGGCAGACCAACCTCACAAAGCTGTTCCTAACTTGCCAGTCCCCATGTTGGTTCCTAGTTTCAAATCCCTGTAACTCTGAGATTCTGAGCTATAGGAACTCAGCAACACTTCTTCCTACGCTGTCTGAAGACACACAGGCATTTACAGTAATCGGTCAGATGACCACCAGGTCCCTTCAACTCAGAAGATCTCTTCCCTTGAACTAACAGACAACTGTGCTGTCTATTTCCATTTCGAGCATTTATGTGCTAGACTGAGAAGATAAGCTCGCTCTTCACCACCACTGTTTGGGGTCGCTGGTTATTTCAGACAGAGTAAAAAAAGAAGGGGACTCAAAGTTCACCCAACTTGACAGCTTGTGAGAAACAGGATAGAAATTCTACTCCAGACCCATGACTTTGGAAAGCTGAACCTGTTTGAGAGATCGCTCCTGCCCCGGTCCCAGCTTCCTGAGTACAGAACACAGTACCTGGCAGTCAGCTGACACCGGCCCACAGGTGTGTACTGGTGCTGACTACACTTTTAATCTCTAGATGTGCCCTCGGGCGACGAAAGGGCTCGGAAAAGTCAGCACTGGGATGAAGTCAAGGCCCAAAAATGGGAAAAACTAAGGTTGGGCTAGAAATCTCATGTTCCCCTTAACATTCTGGGGCAGAAGGTACAAGTGAATGCTGTCTCTGCTTAATTTAAGCCCCTGCTGCTCTGCCTACTGACCTAGGCCCCAGCTAGTACTAGGCGTCCTCCAGAAGAACCTTCTCTGCCCCACCAGATAACCCCACACTTCTCCCACTGCCACACCCACTCTGGTACCCCTAATCCTCTTCGCCACTCTTACCCCACCCCCCCTTTATTCTGTGTCCCACTCCAGTCCCTGGCCTCAGCCTGCGGTTTCCTCACCTGGTTTTGGTTTTGAGCTGGTGGAGGCACTGGGTGCTGCTTCTCTTGAACTAAGGGCTTCTCTTTCTGCTGAGCGTAGGTGAAGTTTGGGGGCTGGGGGGATCCTGTGCCCACCGAAGAGGGAGCTTCCAGGGGCACTGACTTTTGATTGAGCTGTGGCCCAGGTGCACTTGGGGCACCAGGGCTGAACTTGGATGCCACGGGTGTAAATTTGGGAGCCACTGGAACAAACTTAGGTGCTGGAGTTGGAGCCTGAGAAAGGGGACCTCGGGGTTGTGCATTAGTGGAGGACACAGGCTGGGGCTGGACCTGGGGCTTGGCCTGAGTCTGGACTTGAAACTGGACCTGAGGCTTGGCCTGCGGCTGGGGTGGAGGCTGGGAGCTAGAAGGGGTCTTCCAAGGAGGCAAGGGTGCTGTGCCCCCAGGAACAGGCTTGGTACTAGGCTTGGGAACGAATGGGGTGGCAACTGGTGGTGGTACATATCCAGGTGACACCTGCAAAGGGAAACAGAGGGGAATGCACTTAGAGAGGGCGGTCACCCCCTCTTTATATCCCCTCCTCTCCTTCGGGGGGGGGCAGCCTTTTCTACTATCCTGCCCCTTACCCGGGCTTTGAAGGGGTCGTTCTTGGCCATGTCATCCAGCAGTGAGGACAGAGAGTCGATCTCCAGGTCAATACTGCTCACTTTCTCCCTGGGCTGGAGGGTCAGGGGTCAGAGCACCCATTCCAGTCTTCCCTTGTCATCCCAAACCCATCGGGGGAGAGTAAATGCTCCTCTCCGCTACACAAAGGTGTCCCCCACCCCACCTCACCTAAAGCTGTCCTCCAAGACCTCCCTACCTGCGATGGGACCTGGGTGGGGGCCTCAGGCCCTCCCTCCTCCACCAGTGGAGGTGGCGGGGAGGGGAAGATGTCCTCCTCCAGAGGAGCAGAGAAGAATGGTTCCTCGATCATCGGGGGAGGCGGAGGTGGGAATGCACCTCCCAGGGCACCCTCCGAGTCGTCGCTCTCCCCAATAGGGGGAGGAGGGGGCAAAGGAAAGTCTAGATAGGAAGGAGAGAGAAGGCTATCAGTACCGGGCCTCTTTCCTCCTCTGCTCAGCACAGTTCTAACCCCCAGATCCAAAAACTCTTTTCTGCATCCCAGGGAGTGTGCGGACCATAACGAGGGGCTCAGGACGCCCTGAGAGAAGCAGGTCGAGAAAGGCCGGGGATGGGCTGAAGAACCATGCAGCACCCGTTACACTTCAGAGAACGGATCCAAAGGGGAAGATTCCTGGCCCACATTCCCGCCTCCCACCCCCAGGCGGGAGACTTGGAACAGTCCCAAGGGTTCTGGCTTCTAGCCAGGAGTTCCAAGATGAGGTAAGAACATCTGCTCAGGACAGGGTGGCTGCGCCCAGCCCCCTTCGCAACAACCTTTCCAGACAACCCCAAAGTCCCCAAACCTCCGACCCCGATCTGGCGCTAGAGTGGGATCGGGAGTCCCAAGCCCAGCCGCATACCTTCTGGGGGCGGCGGGGGGATTTCGCCCACCCGGCCCATCTGTGCTCGTTGGGCCCCGGCTGCCACAGGAGGCTCGCTGTCCCCAGGCCGGAAAGGATTCACTTTGGGCTTCGGTGCCACGACTGGGGCGAACTTCTTCTGCGGGGCGTAAAACGCCGGGGCCGAGACGGAGACGGAGATCGCGGGAGGCGGGCGGGGGGCCGCCATGGCCAGGCCGGGCTGCTGGGGGTGGGTGGTCAGGTTACGCAGCGCCGTGCCGGGCTGACACCCCTTGGTCCGAGCTCCCTCGGTGACCCCACCCGCGCCTCCCAGAGTCCCCTTCCTGGGGCGGTGGAGCTGCTCCCCGCGCCTCACCGCGGGCAGGAGCGTGAGCGCCGCGTCTCGGATGACCGCTCGGCGCCGAGTCCGCGGACTCCGCGTCCCGGTCCCAAGCAGCCTCTAGCCAGGCGGGGAGGGACGACGCGCGCAAGGGAAGGGAGGGAGGGGGCGGGGAGAGAGAGGCGCCCAGACCATACAAGGAGCGGCCCGGAGAGGGGGCGGGGAGAGGCCGGGGAGGGCGGACTGGGCAGGAAACGCCCCCAGGAAGGGGCCCGGGTCCTGCCCCGGGCTCCCGGCTCTGCTATGGTCCGCCTGCGGCCTCCCCACTCACCACCGCCCCCGCCGGGCACAGACCACCCTTCCCCAGCGCAGGCCTCTGATGTCATTTCCTGACCTGCCACCTACCCCCCTCCACCCCCCCGCCCGACCCGCGGGTGCTCGAGATCTGACTCACCGTCCCCACTCCTGGCTGAGCGGGCAGGCGAGTATCCCAGAGGTCCCGAAACAGCTCAGTCCCACTCCCCGGGCCTGCCTGCCATTGACTGACCCCCCGCCACCCCCATCAGCTCCAGCTCTTCGTCCCACGTGTCCTGTGGTCAGTCGGGGTTCGCAGGACTGGGATGGGGCCCTGCTCCTAAGTGGGCGGGGATGGTGAGGGGGCGTTCGTCCTGCTGGCACCCGTCAGGGCCCTGTGTAACCCACTAGTGAATGAGCAGGAGCCGAAGCGCTCTTGGGGGATGCTAACTTCCAAAACTAGGCAGCCTCTTAAGGCTTCTAGGAATTCTCTTAGCCATAGACCCTGCCTGCATATCTGTTGCCCCAGGGGAAGAGTCCAGCGCTCAGTCTAGGAAATGAAGGTGGGAGGACTCAACCTGGGTGAGGCTGCTCTGGTAATGATGTCCTAGGAAGACCCAAGGATGTTAGTAGCCTCGGGGACTAGTCCTTGTGGGTCCTTCAGCAAACCTTCCCCAGTGGGGTGTCAGCTGCTCCCGGGGATGAAGCTCGGTGGAGCCCCCCACTGGTCCAACCGGATTCCTCAGCCTGATACTGCCGCAGGCTACGTGAAAAAGATGTGACCGAGCCAGTGCCTGCCCAGCTTACTTTCTTAGTCTCCTTCCTTCCTACCTGCCTTCCCTTCCTTCTTTTTATAAGATTGCCTACAGAGGGAACTTCTTCACATTCACTACGTCCTAATTATAGAGTCATGCGTTCGGACCTCTAGTTCCGTATTCATCCCTGGGTGCTTCCTTTACTTTTACCGGGTAATCCCCGACTATTGGCGTTCCCCATCTGCTGCACCATACTGTCCAGAAACTCTGGGCTATGCTTTAGGGGAATACAAACTAGTACCATGAATTTGGGGTGAAAAAAACGGGGGTGTTACCTGAAGAGATGACCCCAGGGGCTAATTCAAGTCAGACTTAATTAGCTTCCTTGGCAAAGAGTGAGTGCAGGGTGAGGCCTGGGAGCCCAGTTTCCTACTCGGACAAGGGACAAGTTACAAGTTTCCTCATTCATTCTGTTCCATTGCCCACATCTGTAAAAGAGGTGTTTTTTTTTTAAAAAACTCATTTGCCTGTTGCTTTATGTGAAGAAATAAATAACATGCTATGTCTGAATTTTTTTATATAGTTCTCAGTATTACTTACCATTGCAAGTTCCAGGCTGGCCAAGAAAGGAAATTCCCAGCCAGTTAACCTAGGGAGCTTTCCCTCACAGACTCCCTTCCAGTTTGTCAGGCAGGTCTAATGTGTCTTGGTACATTCAGTGCTCTCTCCTTCCTTCAACCTTAAGTCTTTAATCATATCTGTGACTATGCATTCATCATCTTTCCAGGCCCCGCTAGTCTCTCTTTTCTCTGTCATCTTAATGTTTCCATCACCAAGATCTTGCATACCATGCATGGCCATGGATGACACAAAGTGTGCAGATACTGACACTCTGACATGCACAAGCTGGTCCCAGGCCTGTCCCTATGACGATCTGCTAGAAATCGGATACTAGATTTACTCTGCATGTTGGAGATTGTTTCTTGGGCTCTGGTGACCAGGAGTCATCACCATCCCTCCAAATAGGCCCATGTGGAAAAGTAGAGATTGTTTCCAGATAACTTTATAAGAGTAAAAACCACCTACCCTCTTGAAGCCTCCTTAAGGAACATCGAAAAATAGAGTATGTGTAATTGTTGGCAGCTGAACCTATTTATAAATCAAGAATAGGAGAGTGTGTAGGCAGACTCAATTCCACAGACGACTAAGAGCATTCAGGATGCAGAATATTAGAGCTAAGAGTTTTAAGCTGGCCATTCTAAGTACAAAGCAGAAGTAAAACAGAATTTCCCAAAGGGTCAATGCTATTAAAATACAGGCACCGAGAAGAAATTACCCTAATCATTCCTGGATATTTTTCTTAAGCAAGCAATTTTGTTTGATGATCTTGGGTAGTATGAGTGAGTGATGTGTAGGAAATTAGTCAATGTCTCCACTTCAAGCATGTACTAGACCAGGAAAAGAAAGCAAGAAAGTAGTCACTGACCTTGGCTACTAAGATATCCCTACACACTTCCAAGGCTTTAGATGCACTAGGTATGAGAAAGTATTATCCCCCCCAGAAAGGTATTTAGTACAAAGTATGACATGCAAAGCATTTGTGGAAGAAACAGCATAGTGACCAAAGAAAGAATCCCAAAGCAAAAACAAAGATGCTATCAGAAGCTTTTTCTCTATGCTGGCTGCAGGCAGACCAAAGACTACCTACCTTAAGCAGCAGCATACTACTGAAACATTAACAATGACTGCAATAATTGCTCACACTCAGGGCAGGTACAACTCAATGACACCGTGCCTGCCTAGCATGCATGACATCTTGGGCTTGATCTCCAGCAGCATACCTATGTGTGCATGCACACACACACACAGAGATAATGCATTATCATTGTTGGCTGTTACACAATTCTAAGCTGTAGGAAACTTATTACTCCCATTTAGTATTAACAATAAATCTATGAGGTTATGTTATTTTTTATCATCATTATTATTATCCCTTTTGGCAGTTAAGGAAGCTAAAGCTAACTAGATGTTGGATTTTCACCTCCTAAGCTACATACTTGTTTTGGTAATACAGTGTATGGGGTAGTTTTTTGTTGTTGTTGTTGTTGTTTTTCAACTTGACACAGCTAAGGCCATCTGGAAAGAGTATTCTCAAATGAGGAAATGCCTCCATCAGATCCCCTCTAGGCAAATTTGTGAGACATTTTCTTGATTTATAATTGATGTGGGGCGGGAGAACCTGGCTCAATGGGGGCAGTGTCATCCCCGGACAGAGACAAGCATAGCTCGCCATGGGGAGCAAGCCAATAAGCAGTGTTCTATAGTCTCTGCTCCAGTTCTTATCTCCATATCTTGAACTTTTGCCCTGGCTTCCCTCAGTGATGGCCTGTGATCTGGGATGTATAGGTCAGATCAACCCTTTCCTTCCCAGTTTGCTTTTGGCCGCGGTGTTATCACAGCAATAGAAAGCAAACTAAGATATACAAGTTCTTTAGTATTTTAAATATTCCTGCCTACTTCTCATTACCCTCCAGTCTCACTTCCATCCTTGTGTTCCATAACTCCTCTTACACTCCAGCCCGGCCCTCCACAGACCTCCACAGGACCTCACGACCCTCACTTTCCATCATTCTACACCATCAGATTCTCTCTGTCTGTCTCTGCACTGGTACACACACACACACACACACACACACACACACACACACACACACGTATTCTGCATTCGTAAGCTGTTATAATCCCATTACATAACATCATCCTGCCAAGGGGTTTCTTGGGGATTGTTAGCATCAGTTGTTAGCTATTGGGACCAGAATCGGGGATGGCAAAGGCTTTTATACGGTTGTATTTCCCCAAGAACATGAACTGCTTCTGTCATCTAAGAAAGAGAGGAGATGTATGAGGTCTATCATGTCCCTTTGCCTTTGCAGAGTGCTCTCCTTAAACTCAGGGCTGCGAACATGTGGCCTACAGTTTCCCACTTGCAGCCTAGTGTCTTGTTTCCCCGGTCCCATGGGCACTTGCTTGTCAGTACAGAAGTCTCTTGGACTTGAGAATAGTGATGGGAGTGGAGATGAAATGAAGGTGGAGCTTTTGGCCAAAGCCCCAGCCAACCAGCTTCCTGCTATGCCCAGCTGCCACTCCCTCAATGAAGGGCGGGACAGACAACAATAATGTCACAGGGCCTTTGTGCTTCCAGGTCAGCCAAATGGCTGATGTCATAGCTTCCTCCTACATGCACTTTCTCTTCCTCGTCACCAACCTCAGGTCAATCCATATTTTTGAATAACTTCTATATTCTAGACAGCCTAGTCCTTGCTCTCAGAGGAAAAAAAATAAAGTCACCTAGTTTTTGGTTTTTTAAAATCATCTACTCCATAGTGCTGTCTTAGTGAAGATAAATAGTAATAGCTGGTTGGCTTTCTCAGCTAGAACTTTTATTATGATCCCATCAGATCTGAAGTAGCAATGAGAGGACAATGGGGCCAAAGGAGACAAATCTGCAGAGGTCAGGGGAGCAGTGTCAAGCAGAGACACCACCCTTAGTGCTGGCCAGATGGGCACTCACAAGCATTGCAAGTGTCAGTTCACAAATGTGGGGGCCAGGCAAGGCAGATGGTCAAATGGCAAAGAGTCAGCACTCACAGGAGCTGTGAAGGGCAGACAGGAAAAGAGGCCCAGGGCACCCACAGCAACACAGGCAGATTGCTGGCACAGAGGCTACCGGCAGTGGGGCATCTGCCACTTCCGTCTTCCCGCACCCAAAGGAAGCCAGAATCAGAGAGAGCCTGGCCTAGAAGCTGCCGCATTTGTCACTGAAAATAGCTCTGTCATTATAGGGAGTAAACATTTCAGAGAGTCGGGGATGCATGCGTATGGGGATAGCTGATAGGGCTGAAATGGAAAGTACTTACATGGAAGTGCCTGCCACTCCCACTCCCCTTCAAAGAGGTGGGCTGAACATCAGGAACCCACCCAAGGGGTAGATCTGACCCAGGAAGTGACTGCTCATGAGCAAGCAGCAGAGCTTGCTTGTGCTACCGGGTTGGTTGCTGTCTACTCAGCACCCAGGGATGGGAGCTAGGTGGCAGATGACTGCTGTGTCAGAGAGAAGAGAGGAATTTACTCAGAGCAGCAGAAGTCAAGATCGTCTACTTGTTCAGGCAGACTACTCCAGGTAGCTAAGTGGGAGCCATGATACTCGTGCCCCCCAGAAGTCTCCCAGCTCCAGCTTCCAGCTGAGTTGCTGCAGTTGACTTGGCAGTGACCCAGCACAAAGCCTGGCACAAATCTACGG